GACGTGAGGCATGAATCCATGAGCCATGAGGTCATGACCTGAGCTGAAGTCAGAGGCTTAACCAACTGAGCCACCCAGGCGCCCTGCCTGTGCTTTAAAAATAGTTTTTCAGGGTGCCTGCATGGTTCAGTCGGTTGAGCATCCAACTCTTGATTTCAGCTCAGATCATGATCCCAGGTTTTGGAATCGAGCCCCATGTCAGCCTCTGTACTGAGCATGGAGCCTGCTTGGGATATTTCTCTCTCTCTCTCTCTCTCTCTCTCTCTCTCTCTCTCTCTCTCAAAATAATAAAAAATAAAAAAGGAAAAATTAGTTTTCCAAACTTTCCTTACTTGCTTTTCCTCTTAATCTAACGTGTTTATTCCTATGTATGTAAAGAATGAGTTAAAGTTTTCATTTCTGACTTACTCATCTTAATATACTTGCAGCATTGTTTCACTTAACATGAATACTCTCTGAAATGGGCAGGTAAGCCCTCTGAGCTGTCTCCACTTGTCTGTGCAAAGTACGGCTGGGTCACAGTTGAATGTGATATGCTCAAGTGTTCCAGCTGTCAGGCTTTTCTCTGTGCCAGTTTACAACCAGCTTTTGATTTTGACAGATGTAAGTATAAAGTACAAATTACATTTTCCTCCATTTTCAAAGATATATTAGACTGGTTTTCTAAGAAGATCAGTCACTTGTGTTTGATCAAAGAATGTGTACTGTTACATATAGCAAGGCGAATCTGTGATTGTCTTTGTCCTAATTATTAGCTTCAGTTACTACTGTTTTTTAAAACTAAGCTACTTTAGAGTGAACCTGACTTTCTGTATTCTGGGAAACTAACAGCAGAGTATATTTACTTTATGGTTTCAAAATTTATACTTAGGCAAAGAGACAAGGCACTTCTATGAAGCCTTGTGCTTTAGAACGCCCTGCCTTATAAGATACGTAATACTGTTACTGACCTTAAGATCTTGATTTAGAACTTGTTTTCTGAAAAATATTAAGATGATGCAGTTGCTAGTATTTTCATATCTTCTAAAATTATCTTAGTCATTTTTATTTTTAATTCTATCCACACTCTTAAAGGTTCTTAGTCATTAGATTTTGAATCCCTATAGTGTTTTCTAAGGCACTGCTGCCTGTATTGGTTTCAGATAAGGACCGATGTGCTGAGCTGAAGAAAGCCTTGTGCACCGCCCATGAGAAGTTCTGTTTCTGGCCAGACAGCCCCTCCCCAGGTACTTATTTCCAAGATTTCCCATTGACCATCCCTTCTTGGTTGTTGCATTTCTAATATTGTCTGTTTCTTTGTGAAAATCTAGTCTTTGAAGTTTCATTTTTTTCCTTTCTATTTGGGTTTTTAAAGAAGAATTTACATTCATTTACTTGTTAGGTTATTACTTAACTTTATTAAGGGCATTTGACAGCTTAGCCATGCATACATTATCCCATTTAATTCTCACAGGGGCCCTGGGAGGTAGATTACCAACACAGTTTTTTAAGTGAGGAAACAGAATCAGAGATCTTTTTTTCCTAACGTTTTTATTTTTGTTTTATTATTTTATTTTCTAATTTGAGAGCACGCACATGCAAGTAAGGGAGAGGGGTGGAGGGAGGGAGGGAGAGAGAGAGAGAGAGAATTAAAAAAAAAAAAAAAGAGGCTCAATGTAGAGCCTGACACGGGGCTCGATCCCACGAACCTGGGATCATGACCCAAGCTGAAATCAAGAGTCAGTCACTCAACTAACTGAGCCACCCCGGCACCCAGAATCAGAAATCTTAAAACCAACTGGTGAGGAGGCAAAACTGTGGTTTTATCTGCTTTCAAACTCTCTGCTTTGCCCCCCATAGCAAGCAGTCCCATGTTCTCCCCAGGCTTCCTTTGGTGCACTAACCGTGGCAGTTAAATGGAGTTGGGGTTCGGTTCCTAAAACCAACTCACGGGAAGCCAAATGAGAGTGATTACAAATGTATAATTTGTCCGAGTGAAGTGACACAATATAAACAACAGCATTGAAGCCAAAGCCCTCTCTTGAATCCGGTGAATTTGTGATTGTCTTCACTTGAGTTATTGACTTTAATCATTACTTTTTTAAAAAACTAGGCTACTTTAGAGTGAATCTGACTATGTGTTCTGGGAAACTAACAGCAGGATATGTTTACTTTATGGTTCCAAAATTTATACTTAGGCAAAGAGACAGGAATTTTATGAAGCCTCATACTCTAGAATGCCCTGCCTTATAAAATACATGATAGCTCCTTGGTTACTGGTCTTAGGATCTTGATTTAGAACTTGTTTTGTGAAAAATATTAAGGTGATGCAGTTGCTAATATTTTCATATTTTTTTAATTCAATTTTTTTTTAACGTTTATTTATTTTTGAGACAGAGGCAGAGCACAAGCAAGGTGTGGGGGACAGAGAAAGAGAGGGAGGCACAGAATCCAAAGTAGGCTCTAGACTCCGAGCTCTTAGCTCAGAGCCTGACACAGGGCTCATGCGGGGCTGATGCGGGGCTCGAACTCACAAACTGTGAGATCACGACCTGAGCCGAAGTCAGATGCTCAATGTACTCAGCCACCCAGGCATCCCAATATTTTCATGTCTTTTAAAGTTCTTTTAGTTCTTTTTCTTTTTAATTGTATCTATACTCTTTTTTTTTTTTTTTTTAAAGTAGGTTCCATGCCCAATGTGGGGCTTGAACTCATGACCCTGTGATCAAGAGCCGTGTGTTCTACCAACTGAGCCAGCCAGGTGCCCCAATAGTATCTTGGACTCTTAAAGACTCTTAAGTGTTGTATGCACAAAATGCTTCAGAATGAGGGAGCCCAAAATGTAGTCACAAGTGGGAGTTTTAAATATTTTACTGGTCACATGGGCATATTCCTGCTGAGTGAGTAACTTCTACAGCAGAGCCTTCTGGAGGGCTCACCAAGACCAGGTGCAAAACTTAATGCTTGACCAGACATTAGTGCCAAAAAGTAGGTATACTTTTTATTATTTCAGTAGGACAACTCAGGCTAATTCCAGGGTCACTGACACCTGGGAATATTCCATGAATAACCACTAAGAAGAAAAAAAAATAGATTGAAAATGTTCATAGAGTGCCATCTACTGATAGATGAACAGGTGCTAGAAAGGGACTATTAGGAAATGATTTTTTAAACATTTTTTACGTTTTTATTTATTTTGAGAGAGCGAGTGAGCAGGGGAGGGGCAGGGAGAATCCCAAGCAGGCTCCGCTCCTGATGCAGGGCTTGAACCCACAGACTGTGAGACTGTGACCTGAGCCGAAAGGAAGAGTAAGATGCTTAACCGACTGAGCCACCCAGGTGCCCCAAGAAATAACAGGTTTTTTTTTAAACTTTTTTTTAAAAAAAAACATTGATTTATTGTTGAGAGACAAAGACAGAGCATGAGCAGGGGAGGGGCAGAGAGAGAGGGAGACACAGAATCCGAAGCAGGCTTCAGACTCTGAGCTGTCAGCACAGAGCCCGACGTGGGGTTTGAACCCATGAACCGGGAGATCGTGACCTGAGCCGAAGTCGGACGCTCAACCAGCTGAGCCACCCAGGCACCCCAAGAAATAACATTTAAAAAAAAATTTTTTTTTAACGTTTATTTGTTACCGAGAGATGGAGAGAGACAGAGCATGAGCAGGGGAGGGGTAGAGAGAGGGGGAGACACAGAATCCGAAGTAGGCTCCAGGCTCTGAGCTGTCAGCACAGAGCCTGATGCGGGGCTCGAACTCACAAACTGCGAGATCATGACCTGAGCTGCAGTCGGTCGCTTAACCAACTGACCACTCAGGTGACCCAAGAAATAACATTGTAAAGTGAAGGTCATGGTAACAGAAGTTTCTGCTGTTGGCCCAGCTATTTCTCTGGATAGTACAACCACATTCGCTCCTTGAGGATGTGAATCGTCTCTCCGTGTGCCCTGTCCAGGTTTCTAGGATCTGCCCAGGACCCTGCTGGTGGTTCCTGCCTCTTGGTACTACACACACTCAGCTTTCTTGGTCCTATTCATAACTTCAGCTGCCACCTACTTGCATACCTTTAACTCCTATCCAGACCTCTCTTTTGAGCTTGACTCATTTCCAGCTGCCTTCTAAACATTTCCATGGAATATCTGCTGCAGACCTGGAATTCAACATATACAAAACTGAATGCTTCATTTTATACCTAGAACTTGCTTCTCATCTTCTATGTTCTCCATCTTGGTAAATGGTACTGACACCCACCCCCCCACCCCCCCACCAGTTGTCCTAGCCAGAAACCTGGAAGTCACCTTAGATGCTCTTCCCTGTTGTCACCACCTGGTCCTATCCATCCTACCTCCCAAATCTGAAATGTGACCTTTCAGTTATATCATCCCTTGGTTTGGTTCTTTCACGTTCAAGAGACTTTAGTGTGAAGAAAGGAACACCGACAACTATCTGTACTTTTAGTGCTTTTATTTATTAAGCATATCTAATAAATACAGTTTTGTAGGTAATTTTTTTTCTAACATTTACCAGTATTTACAAACAAAACTAAATCCCTTTAAACATTTCAAATTATAATAATTATAATTACTAATTTACTAGACTGATTATTTTGAACATATCAAACACTGAAGTAGACCAAATACTCACATGTTAGTTATAAAACATATTTTAATTCATGTTAAAACATTTACATGATGGGTTTAATTTCTTCTGTTTACTCTTTTGCCTTCATCAATTTTTACTAGTATTTTCTTAGAATTGTAGGGATCAGACCAAACCCTAAATTGGAAGGTGATCAGAAGGACATTGGGATCTGTTTTTTTCTCCTAAGTTTTGTCAAACCTGAGCCACTGGTCATCAGAACATGTTTTATTTTTATTGTTAAACCTCGCTTGATTTTGTAAAGTCCATACCTTTTTTGTTGATCTTAGTTTTTTATAATCAGACATTCCTTGTAAAATGATACATCTTTTTAAATTGATGGTTGGGGTGCCTGGGTGGCTTGGTCGGTTAAGCGTCCGACTTCGGCTCAGGTCATGATCTCACGGTCCGTGAGTTCGAGCCCCGTGTCGGGCTCTGTGCTGACAGCTCAGAGCCTGGAGCCTGTTTCAGATTCTGTGTCTCCCTCTCTCTCTGCCCCTTCCCTGTTCATGCTCTGTCTCTCTCTGTCTCAAAAATAAATAAACGTTAAAAATTTTTTAAAAAAAATAAAAATAAAAATAAATTGATGGCATATATTTTTGACATATTTGGTTACTGGCAACAAGTTTAAATAGTTTGATAATATTTAATAATATTAGAGACCAAAATCTGGTTGTTAATGATACAATAAATGGCGGACAAAAGTGCTCTTGTTAACTATTTTTGTATCTCTCTCTTTTTTTTTTTTAAGTTTTTATTTATTATTTATTTTGACAGAGGGTGGGGTGGGAGAGAGAAAATCCCACGCAGGCTCTGCACTTTCAGCACACAGCCCAACGTGGAGCTTGAACTCATGAACCGTGAAATCACGACCTGAGCCAAAATCGAGAGTCAGACACTCAACCAACTGAGCCACCCAGGTGCCCCTGTACCTCTTAGTAATAAAACTGGAAAAGAGATTTTTTTCTTTCTTTTTTTTTTTTTTTTAAATGTTTATTTTTGAGAGAGAGACGTTACCCAGGGGAGAAGCAGAGAGAGAGGGAGACAGAGGATCCAAAGCAGGTTCTGTACTGCCAGCACAAAGCCTGATGCGGGGCTCGAACTCACAAACTGAGATCATGACCTGAGCCAAAGTTGGACGCTTAACTGACTGAGCCACCTGGATGCCCTTTTCTTTTCTTTTTTCTGTTTCTGTTTATTTATTTTTTTGAGAGAGCAGGAGCACGCATATATGTGGGCAAGCAGGGCAGGGGCAGAGGGCGAGTGAGAGAATCTTAAGCAGCCTCCGTGCCCAGCTCAGAGTCTGACCCAGCACAGAGCCCCACATGGAGCTCGATCTCACAGCTGTGAGATCGTTGACCTGAGCCAGAATCAAGATTTGGACCCTTAACTGAGTGAGCCACCCAGAACCGCCCCCCCCCTGCCATTTTTTAAACAGCCTTATTGAGGAATAATTGACATAAAACGTGCATATTTAGGTATACGGTTTGGTAAGTTGTGACATACTTGTGGGCTTGTGAAACCATCACTGCTAGATTTCTATTTAACATCAGGAGTTGATATCATTATCCCAATTTAACACTATATATTACTATGCCCTATTTTTCTTACAGTATGAAGTGTCATTGATCATTAAGAGTTTTATAACATGGATGCTCCTTCTCTCCATCTTTATGCCACCAGTATCTTGCAGGGATTATTACCTTAGGTCACTTTAATGTCTGCTAAGCTTATTTTTTTTTTTTGTATCCCAGCTGGCCCTTTATGATCTCTACTCTAAACTACTGCATATTATCTATAATATCACTTCCTCCTTTAAAAAAATCTTTTTGGTAATTTCTTTTCACATACGTTAGTAAAATCATGGTCTCGTTACTCTCTACACTTCAACCCCATCTCCTACTACTTTCCCCACAGGCGCACTGGGTTCCAGTCCCGTGAAACTGTTGAGAAACTCCGCACCTGTCCCATCCTTTGGGCCTTTGCTTTTGCACACTGTTGTTGGTCTCAAATTCAGCTTAGACCTGACTGCTTCTGAGAAACCTTTCTCGAGAAATCTACTTTTTTACACATATTCACAAAAAGCATCACAGCTCTGTCAAAAAAAGTCAATAATTCTTAATATCTTCAAGTGCTTGATCAGTTTTATCAGTACCTGTCCCCTGTCGTTCCGTACACGTCTTTGACTTTTTACCATTTACACCAATATGATCTTCCAGTTTACCTTGTCCGCAGATCGATTTGGGATGTTGCCGTTGGATGAGCCTGCTGTTCTTGTTAGCGAATTCCTAGATCGTTTTCAAAGCCTTTGTCACTTGGACCTTCAGCTTCCTTCCCTGAGGCCAGAGGACTTGAAAACTATGGTGAGTTTTCCTTAGCGAGCCTACAGCGGTCTTCAGTTGTCACTAGCACTTGTACGTGAAGCATTTCCTTAAATGACCAGAGGATTCAGATTGCTGTGAAGAGAGCTAGTTGTTTGCCCCTCAACTGGACTTTTTCAGTCTCTGCTAGAAGGGCAGCTATTGACAGTTAAGTAAATGGTTCCCTCAAAACTTCTAGATATTCTTTAAGTGGCATACATTCAATTTTATCTTGAGTTGTTACTTAAGCTATTTAACAGAAGATACTGAAATGTGACTTCATATGGTTTATTGCTTATCATTTCCCAAAGAAAATACTCCAGGAGAAGTTATAAACTCCCTTCTCCCCTGTGAGTAGAAATTAGAAATGCTCTGCCCTATCTTTAGTGTCCCTATCTAGTGTCCTGTTTCATCACCCTGCACACACTCTGGAGACAAGCTTTACTGTAGGAAATAGTAGCTATTATTTTGCTTCTTCAAGTTGCGAGGCCATTTGGATTTTAACTGAAGTGTTACCCTCTGTGCCTATTATAAATGTCCCTTGTCCCTAGCCAAGGCAGCTTTTTTGTTCACCTTGTCAGTTCTTTATTATTCTTAGTACAAAAATAAAGACCTTGGTAAGTTCTCATTTTGTCAAGAAGTAAATTTAGTGTCAGGTCAAGATATAAATAGTAATCTGTTTTTCCTATTTTGGTTTGAAGTGTACAGGTTTGAGAGAAAATCCGCAATTGGTAAATATCTTTTTTTGCGAGAGAGAGTACACGTGCAGGGGAAGGGCAGAGAGAGAGGGAGAAAGAGAATCCCAAGGAGGCTTCTCACTGTCAGCGCAGAACCCAATCTCCCCAATGGTCAGATCATGATCTGAGCTGAAATCAAGAGTCAGGTGCTTAAAGGACTGAGCCACCAAGGCACTCTTGTAAATTGATTTTTTTTAAGTTAATTTATTTATTTTGAGAGAGCAAGGTGGGGGAGGGGCTGAAAGGAGAGAGAGAATCCCAAGCAGGCTCCTCACGTCAGCTTGGAGCCCAACAGGGAACTCAGTCCCTTGAATCGTGAAATCATGATCTAAGCCAAAATCAAGACTTGGGCGCCCAACTGACCGAGCTACCCATGTGCCCCTGCAATTGGTAAATTGAAAACAAATTAGTACTAAGAAAAGATTTAGTAGTTCTAGGAAAACTGCTACCTTTCTCAGTCAGTAGATTCAGAGCAATTCAGAAAGGTTTGTAATACCTTAACCCTGTCCTGGAAGTAAGCCTTCCGTAATGAAGAGAATTGTCTTCGTGTTTGGCACTTCTTTCATGATTTTTGCGTTGTACCATCTAAGTACATCATTATATGTCATTTTTGTGGTTGGACGTTTAATTTAAGGAACCTTGGTTCCTTTATAGTGCTTGACAGAAGACAAGATCAGTCTTCTCCTGCACCTGCTTGAAGACGAACTTGATCACCGAACGGATGAGAGAAAAGCTGTAAGCAAATTAGGCTCAGACATCCAAGTCCACGTCACTGCCTGTGTCCTCTCTCTCTGCGGCTGGGCATGCAGGTCAGTCAGTGAATTTGCAGGGTGACATGAACTTTGACATCGTCATACACTGGTTTACATCAGTCACTGATAGTATTTGTAGATCACCTGGTGTTTTCCTGTCAGAAAAGCAGACAAAGAAAACCTAAGAGGGTGGTGAGGGGATGATAAGAATCAGTAACAGTTCCAGAATTAGAACGCGGGAATTCTTGGACACACCTGAACTTTGGTTTTTTTGGGTTTTTTTTACTATCGCTTCCCACCTGGGAATTTGTGCTCCTGTAAGCAGTGAAGCTCCTTTCTGTTTATAGAAAGGAAGAAAAATCAGTTGAGTTCATAAAAACTACCAAAGGAAACGTCAGCCAGAGTCCTCTGAGCCTCCATGTTGGTATTTCTCTTCCAGCTGCTCAATTTAGCATAGACTCCCTCTGAGATAGAAAACTGTTGGAACTGGGACGGCTGGCTCAGTCGGTAGAGCATTCAACTCTTGATCTCAGGATTATGAGTTCCAGCCCTGTTAGGTATAGAGATAACTTAAAAATAAAATATTAAAAAACTAAAAAACTGTTTGAACCAATCTTGATTTACCTTAACTACGCATTCTTTGATAGATCAAGGGATATTTTTTATTTAAGGTTTGTTTGTTTATTTTAAAGTTTATTTAAGTTATCTCTACACCCACTGTGGGGCTTGAACTCAAGACCCTGAGATCAAAAATTACATGCTCTTCTGACTGAACCAGCCAGGTGCCCCAGGAATATTTTCATTTAAAAAGAACAGAAGAAACGTATAAAATAACCTTTAATGTAGTCTTGCCTTCGAGATGACACCAAGACCATTAGATCTTTCTGTAGGAACTTTGTGAGTGACACTGGAGTTGGGGTCCTGAGATCAGAGGACAGGGGCCTCGAGATGCCATGATTCCCAATCCACTGGACTGTTCCAGAGACTTATTTGATGAGATAAAGCATTCTCACAAATGATTACACTTAGTCCCTTGGAAGTGTTACCTTTTGAGAAAACTCTCTTTTCTGTTCCTACCTAGTTCTTCTCTGGAACCCATGCAGCTCTCCTTGATAAGCTGTTCACAGTGTACGAGGAAGGTGGGGCTCTGGGGCTTCCAGCAGATGGAGTCTTCCATGACTGAACTGGATGCATCGTTTGGCCTGACCAGCTCCCCCATCCAAGGCCCTGAGGGGCGGGCAGAGCGCTTCCCTCTGGTGCCTGAATCTCCTCGGAGGATGATGACTCGGAGTCAGGATGCCACATTTTCCCCTGGCTCCGAGCAGGTATAGACTTACTTGGCTTGTTGGGGTGGCCTTTTTAAAAGCGGCATTCTCGGGGGCGCCTCGGTGGCTCAGACCAACTTGAGCGTCTGACTTCGGCTCAGGTCATGATCTCAGGATTCATGAGTTCGAGCCCCGCATCAGGCTCTGTGCTGACAGCTCAGAGCCTGGAGCCTGCTTCCGATTCTGTGTCTCCCTCTCTCTCTGCCCCTCCTCTGCTCGTGCTCTGTCTCTCAAAAATAAAAAAACATTTAAAATAATAAAGCAAGTAAGCAAGCGTTCTTGGGGTGCCTGGATGTCTCAGTTGGTTAAGCTTCCGACTCTTGGTTTTGGCTCAGGTCATGTTCTCAGTGGTTCTTGAGACCAAGCCCCACGTCAAGCTCTGTTCTGACAGCGAGGAACCTGCTTGGGATTCTCTCCTGCTCTTTCTCTGCCTCTCCCCCTGCTCATGCATGCTTTCTCTCTCACACTTTCTCAAAATAAATAAATGAACATTAAAAAAAAAAAAAAAAAAAGCATTCTTGCCAAAAGTGTTGTGGTGGAAAAGCTGGAGATTAACTTAGGTGGGGAAGCTTTAGTTCTGACCACAGTGATCAAAATACCGCGTGTTTTTATTCAGCAGTTGCAACACAGAAGCTAAATTCATGATTTTGTATAAAAATCGATTATTTTTTGAAGAGTTTAGATATGTCGACAGTTCAGAAAGTAAATTCTCACAGTTTAAACTGTGAAGTATTTGTTTGCACCTGCTTCTAGAAATACGTCTTCTGACCATAGTCATTTCCATCATTGGTGTACTTCTCCTCCCTCTTCTTTCCTTCAGGCTGAAAGGAGCCCAGGCCCTGTCGTCTCCCGAACTCGGAGCTGGGACTCTTCTAGTCCCGTTGACCGTCCTGAGCCAGAGGCTGCTAGCCCCACCACCAGAACTCGTCCTGTAACCCGAAGTATGGGAACAGGAGACGGCGCTGGCCTGGAAGTGCCGTCTAGCCCTCTCCGGAGAGCCAAACGGGCTCGCCTCTGCTCTTCTAGCAGCTCGGTGAGTCCACCTGCGTGTAGAGGTCATGGAGCGCAGACAGCACGCCAGACCCTCACCGCGTAGTACAGAGAAGCAGGTGTGGTCCTGTGGCTGTGAGAAGACAATGTGAGGAAGTTTCAAGATGGGATAGTTGGGTGACCAAAAGGAAAAAACTTGAAGAGGTTTGTCATTTCAGTTCTTTGGAATGGATTCTGCAGAGGTAGTAACTATTTCACGCACGTGGGGCTGGCAGGGGGATGGGAGGACATACCTGATCAGGTGCTGTTGATTTAACACAAAGGGAATGAAAGAATTTGGAAAGAGAGTGGGCACTACATAGGCAGTGTTCAAATTTGTTTTTTAAAGTGTATTTATTTTGAGAGAGAGCATGAGCTGGGGAGGGACAGAGAGTGAGGGAGACAGGATCCCAAGCAGGCTCTGCACTGACAGCAGCAAGCCTGATGCGGGGCTTGAACTCATGAACCGTGAGATCGCGACCTGAGCCAAAGTCAGATGCTTAACCAGCTGAGCCACCCAGGTGCCCTGACATAGGCAGTGTTTAAAGGAGACATCAAATTGGAAATGCGGGCAGTTGTGAGATTCTGAACTGGACAAGTCACAGCAGTGCCTCTCTGGATTGACGTGGCCTCTGCCCTTCATCAGCACTGTTTCTTTTCCTCCTCTCAGGACACATCTTCCCGAAGCTTCTTTGATCCCACCTCTCAGCACAGAGACTGGTGCCCTTGGGTGAATGTCACATTTGGCCAGGATACCAGGGAGGATGGCAGAACTGAGGCAGATGCCAGTGCCGCGGCAGAGCCAGGCTGGAAGGCCGTGCTGAACATCCTCTTGGCCCACAAGCAGTCCAGCCAGCCAGCTGACACAGACTCCATGGTGAGATAAGCCGTTGCCTCTGTGTGTGCAGCACTCGCTGTTTATGGGATGAGGAACAGGGGCTGGTCCTATAATTAGCACCCTGCCTGCCCTCAGCTCTCATAAGTCAGGTTAGACTGAGTCCGGGTTCGTCCAGGAGAACAGGCGTGGAACTGATTCAGTCTTCCTGCAGTTTAGCATTTGGCATTCCATCAAATTCTGGTAAATTCTTTGTCTTCTCAACTAAAGTGATTCAAAGTAGAAAAGGAATACAGAACCAGAACTAGATGATGAGGCAGCTGTTCCGGCCTCCTGTTGCACAACAGCTGCTTTTTCTATCAGTTGCTGTCACTTGCATTTGGAGCCTGGCCAGTTAGCTTAGCCCTCTGAGTACTGTGCCCTGACCCCAAGATTGCGATTTCATTCCTCACAGTGGGCACGTTACTTGGCTCTGTTCCACAGCCCCAGACTTGTGCCCTGAGCCTCAGCAAGCCACGGCAGTAGTGACTGCTGCTACCTGCACATGTGGGTAAATGCAAATCCATCGTGACAGCTGAGAAGACGGGTCACGTGTTTACTGTGTGTAAAGGATGGAAGTGATAGGAGGGTAAGCATTAAGGAATCACGGAAACTGGGTTCTCTTTCCTTTGCTGGCTCATTTCCAAATTTGCCTCTTAGCACGGTGTAGATAGAATAATTTCTGATTTCCGTAACCTCCAAGGACAAAGTAAAATAATACTTGCCGGTACACGTTTAAAGGAAGTGGTCCCAGGTTCGTGGCTCAACAGGATCATGGGATTCTACTGGGGACAACGATAGCGAGCCCGAGAATGTACATCTGTACCCTTTAAATACACAAATGAAGGCTTTCCAGGTTTTTCCGCAGGAAGAAAATCTACGTTTTTCTAATTTAAAACCTTTGAAAATACATCAAGCTATCTGAAGACAAATGTCTGCACGTAAATTCTTCTGCCTAGATCTTCATGAAATAGTGTACTGGAAGTTTTTATTGACTCCCCTCTGTCACTGTCTTACTAACAAGAAATCCCACAGGGTTTTTACGGGGTTTTTTGTTTTTGTAGTGGGAAAAGTTGGCCTCATAATTGACCCTGGTTTCCAGGACCTTTAAGATCCTTTTTGGTGCTTTGTCTTTTAACCTTCCCACAGCTGCTGTGACTGGGAAGTTCAGAGCTTAATGAGGCTACACAAAGGATCCTCACGTTAGAAAAAAGCTTATGTTGTTTTTCAACTTAAGTTCCTTTTAACGTTGTCGCCGTATTAACTAAATTCTCCTTGGTCGTTAGTAAGAGCTCAAACTCCCCCCACCCTCACCTCCCACCCCGGGACTTTTACTTTATTGAAACATTCATCCACAAAGAGGATGAGAAAACAGTGAAAATGTCATCTGATGTCAGAAACTGGAGATAACTTTATGGATTATCTGCTAGATTATTATTTATGTTCTCATTGAGACCCTGTGCTCTTTATTGTGCCTCTCAAAGGCTGAGAGATCAGCGTGTTCTGATTCACTGAGAACTTTTATCTTTTAGTGAATTGTTTTGTCTCCCTGTAACACCATTTCTCAGAATCTCAGATCACTTCACAGGCATGATCAAGTGGCGGTGAGAGTCTTCCTATTATTAGCTCTGCTGGCTAAAAATGAAGCTGAGAAGGCCAGGGTCATAGTTTAAGCTCTAAAGAGTCATTTATTTTACTCCTTGGCCTTGAATTATACTGTTAACCCCAGTGAAGCATCACATGAATGTGAATCTTTGTTCACAAGAAATAACGAACTAGGGCCAATTCGGAAACCGGTGGATATGTGCACTGCACTAATGGTGGGTCAGGAGTGTCAGCCTCACAAAGATGAGGACAGATGAGGATACTTGGAGGGAGGACATGAGCCATGTGTTAGAGGCTCAGAGTATGTTAGCAGTCTTGTGACAGAACGCAGATTTTTAGTCTGGTTTTAGGTGTGTGTTATGTATACAATATAAAGTAATACGAAATACAAAATGGGTTTTATTCAATTCTAGATGTACCTAGATCCCTGTGGGAGGAATTTATAGACGAAGCCTTGACGCCGTTACCCGTCTTTCATCTCTATAAAAGAATTTAATCTCTAACAATGAGCTTTTCTACCTATAGAGTCTCTCTGAGAAATCAAGGAAGGTATTCCGAATATTCCGGCAGTGGGAATCCTTATGCTCATCCTGAAGATATTCCAGCCCTTCCTGGAGAGAAGCGGAATGAGTGACTTGGAGAAGCAAGAGTCTGAATTCCCTTTTGGGCGGCGGATTTCTCCATCCCGGTTTAACCACAAGGATCCCCCATCTTTGTAAAAGGCAGTGTCACTGTCTGCCGTCTGCCTGAGGGGAAGCCTGTTTCCGTGCCGGGATTGGACAGGTGAAGTACGCCAAGCCTGGCTCTGTTAAGGGAGTGCGGGGTTGTTAAACTAGATGGAGGACCGAGCACTTGAGCTCTTCTGGTGTCTGTCAGTATGGGCTGGTGTTGTGAAGACTCTTGTGTCCCAGGAATGTGACAGAATGTGTTAATAAAATGCTTATTAGGATTCTTACTGCCGGCGAGTTGTGTTCCTCCTTGCCTCTGGGCTGTTATAAACAAGGCAGACACTGAGCACATGTCAGTGGAGCAGTAGGCAGAATCAAAATTTTCGTTTTCAGATTGGCCGCAAAGCCTGAAATTTGCTTGTGATTCTCATCAAAGAGGTATTTCTTTTTTTGTTGTTGTTTAATTTTTTATTTTTTTTAAATTTTTAAAATTTTTTTAACACTTGATTTATTTTTGAGACAGGGAGAGACAGAGCATGAACAGGGGAGGGTCAGAGAGAGGGAGACACAGAATCTGAAACAGGCTCCAGGGTCTGAGCTGGCAGCACAGAGCCTGACGCAGGGCTCGAACTCACGGACCGTGAAATCATGACCTGAGCCGAAGTCAGCCGCTTAACCGACTGAGCCACCCAGGCGCCCCTCAAAGAGGTATTTCTGAACCAGAGAGTGTTCGTTATGTCACCGGGAGATCTCCTGATGTGTTACAGTGAATGGTAGTCTGTTCGTGTTCTCTGTTCACTTTGACAACAATAGGCAAGGTGAGGGAGGAAGGTCCTTCAGGAGAGACACCCTCTCCACATGCCTTCCGGTACATGGCTCCCCCCGAGGGGGACTCCCCCAGGCTCCTTCACTGCTGCTGGTGAGCATCAGTCTCTGTGGTGAAGATTGACCCTGACCTGCCCCGTCTAAATAAGACTGCTCCCTGATAAAGGAACCGTGAAAGCTGATAAAGGGACACTGATAAAGGGACATTTCTCTGAAATGTCATATTTTCTTTGAGTAACTGTAATTTGTTTTATGACTCACTTTTAAAAAAAATTTTTTTTAACGTTTATTTTTGAGAGACAGAGAGTGAGCAGGGGAGGGGCAGAATGAGGAGGAGACACAGAATCCGAAGCAGGCTCCAGGCTCTGAGCTGTCAGCACAGAGCCCGACGTGGGGCTTGAACCCACGAACTGCGAGATCGTGACGTGAGCCGAAGTCAGACGCTTGACCAATTAGGACTCACTTTTATACTCCAGTATCTTAAAGAAAATAAGACATCATAATATTCTGCCCCTGCTAAAACTTCGGTTTCCGTCTCTAAATACATTTTTTCTATTTTCTTTACCCAACGAAAATTAACGATCTCTTATCATCTAATACCCAGTCCATATGCAGAATTCCTGGGTATTCCGAATGTTTTTACATTTGATTTGTCTAAGCCAGGATCCAATTCAAGATCATGGGTTACATTAATCTCTTTAGTTTGAAGGAGAGTCCCTTTTTTTAATGCATGTCAGATTTTCTAATTTGTCATTTTTCAATCCTAATTTTTAAAAGGGTAGATAGTGTTGATATCTCTTCTGAATGAAGCCCCTGTCAGTGGCTGAGGCCAGGAGAGGCTGCTTCCAGGTTATTTTGGAGGGGTGCTCTTTTGCCTTTAGCGTGAGCGTGCGTTGTCAGGCCCCGTGGTCTCCTTAGAGGGGCACACTGCCGGGCAGCTCTCTAATGTTCATGGACATGAGCCTTTGGGCCCAGGGGGTAAGCCCTTTGCTGACTGGTGACTAAGTGAGTTTGAAGTCTGCTCTCTGGAAGCTCCTGTCGTCTAGGTCACCACTTTAGGAGTGGTGTAGAATCATTAACACAAGGTCTTCAAAAGGACTGCAACCCTAATTCTAGGTTATAATAATGTGGGTAAATTTTTAAAAGTCTTTCCACTGAATTTTTTTTTTTTTTTTTTGAGAGAGAGAGAGAGAGAGAGCACACACTTGTGATCTAGAGAGTGGTAGAGGGAGAGAGAGATTTTTTTTTTAATCGTTCTAAGTTTATTTTGAGAGAGAGAGTGCACACATCAGTGGGGAAGGATCAGAGAGAGAGGGAGAGAGAGAGAATCCCAGGCACTGTCAGCACAAGCCCTATGTGGGGCTTGAACTCTTGAACCGTGAGATCATGACCTGAGCCAAGAGCATCAAGAGTTGGATGCTCAACTGACTGAGCCATCCATGTGCCCTTCCACTGCAATTTTTAATTTATACCTCCCTCCAGAGAAAATAGTCACATTTCTTTAAAAAAGACAAAGCTCCACAAGTTTTGTTTATGAGTGTGTGTTTAAAGTATAAATGGAAGCAGTTTGGGATGGGCTTTGTGCAATTCAAGAAACATTCCGTCTCTTCCGTGTGCAAGGCCCTGTACAAGCCCTTGGGTAATGCAAAGGTGAAGGACTACCTGGTTCCCGCCCTCAAGGAGTCTGTCTCCCAGGCTGAAAGTCACATTTATAGACACCTGTTGCACAAGACAGAGTGCTCAATACTCTGGAAGAATTAGTATAACAAAAGAAGCGAGGGCTGCCTGGCTGGCTCTGTTGGTAGAGCATGCGACCCTTTGATCTCAGGGTTGTGAGTTCAAGCCCCACGTTGGGCATAGAGCCTATTTAAGAAAAATAAGAATCAACTCTCCCGTATGGAATTGGAGAGAATTTTCAGGAAGGTATAGATTTGAGCTAGACCTGGAGATGAGTGGTAGATACAGGCTCTGTGAGAACTGGGACCTTGTCCCTCTT